TGACAATGCAGTGAAGAATCGCTTTTCTACTCTGTGCAAAAGGAGGGCCAAGGATGAGGAACTATACCAAGAAAATGGTGTGCCATGTTCCAACACAAATGCAAAGAGGGTTCTCACAGAAACAGGATGCCTGACACCAGGCGGAGCTGGCTCCTTGCTACATATTAAGCAGATGAGGTATATAAAATACAAGCTGAACTTGTTACATTTTCTAACTGATAAGTTTCTTAATGTCTACATATTGTTTGACCTTCTTTTTTTATTGATTCTGCTACAAGGTCTTCCAGTTCTGATTTAAAGGAGAACCTTGTACAAAATATGAGATTATTTGAACAAGAAAAGAGCACACAAAATGCCAGGCAACCTCTTGCTACCATTTCTTCGAACAACCAAGATAACACGAATACAGTTAAATCCCAAAATTGTGAGTCCATTATCCTTGATTTCTGAACATTTTCCTTTACTTGTATGTCTCGTGTCAGTGAATGAATCATTTCTGTGCTGATAATTTCAGGTGTGAAGCGGGAGGGTAATTTTCTGAACAAGGATGACCCAAAAGTTACTACTTTATTGCATCAAGCTGACTTGCTTTGCTCCCTTGCAACAAAAATCAAAAGTGACAATACAAGTCAAAGCATGGATGAAGCATGGCAGGTATGTATGGCTGCACCAACTTCCTGTTACGAAGTTCTCAGCTTAAAACTCTTGGTGCTTTATTGATAGGTAACTGTTTTTATCCCTGACATTTTCAGCAACTGCAAGATCATTTAGTGAAAAAAGAGCACAACGAAGTGCCAGAAAATAGAGGGTCTGAAATAGGTTCACTCCTAGAGGAGCTTGATGATTTAATTGTAGACCCCTATGAGAGTAAAGATGAAGATGAACAAAAGCTAAGGTAATTTGTGAATGAACGCTCTTTTTTTTGGGTCAAATATGTCGCTTCAGTTGTTGACCCATCATTTTTTCCAATGCAAAGCGAGCACATTGGACAAACTGATGTGGACAATGATCACTGTAACAGTTCTTCACGAACTAGCATAGACGTAACATCAAATATGGTCCCAGAGGAAATGATGGAAGATTGCCCAGTAGATAACTGCAAAGAGGATAGTAGTCTTTGTAGAAACGTGCTTTCTGGAAGTACCGAACCTTGCCCAGGTAACCTATGCTATCAATCGCAACTTAGGTAGATTCTTATCTACATCAAAGAAAGGCTCTCTGAAATTGTTGATGATAAAACAGGTGCAAAGATACCAGCATGTGGAAATTTGAGCGAGGACCAGGTTGCTGAAGATAGCATGCTTCAACGTGTAGAATCTACATCTCCTGTTATAACAGATATTGATGATTTAATCATAGACCCGTATGAGAGTGAAGAGGAAGATGAAGAAAAGTCAGGGTAAATGATGGATATTTTCTCATCCTTTCATTCATATATTATTGCTTCAGATGTTTATGCATCATCATTCCAATTAACAGGGAGCAGAATGGACAGATTGATGTTCATGATGAGCAGTGTTTTGGTTCTTCGCAAACTATCATGGAAGTGATATCAGACATGGCCCCTGATGAAGTGATGAAAACCTGTCTAGCAGATAACTGTGAAGAACATAATAACATTTGCCAAATTGTGCTTTCTGGAAGTATGGAACCTTGCCCAGGTAACCTACACTATCTGTCATTACTTATCTATATTCTTTTTCATCCACATCAGAGAAAAATTATTGAAATTCTTGAGGCTCAAACAGGTGCAGAAACACCAGCATCTGAAAAATTGAGTGAGCTTGCTGAAGATAGCAGACTTCAATGTATGGAGTTTGCATCTCCTGTTCTGACAAATTTTGAGAGTAAAGACTCTGGAGAAACACCAGCACCACAAAATCTTAATGAGATTGCTCAAGATAGCAGGCTCCAATGTATTGAATTCACGTCCCCAGCTCACACAGTTCTCCGAGATAAAGCAGGTGCAGAAAACTTTGCATCCCCAAGTTTTTCTGTGGTTGCAAAAGATAGTAAGCCTCCATCTTTGGAATTCACATCCCCTGCTCATACAGTTGCAACATTCCAACCGTATGCAGACGACATGCCTACCCCAAAATTCACTGCTAGTGTAAGCTTTCGTTTTCCATGGCCTGTGTCTGAGATTTGTATTTGGAAATATTGTTGTACCTGAAGTAATAATAAATATGTTGTTAAAGCTGCTCACATTTGTATTTTTCAATACTTTCAGGAGAGGAATTTTCTGCTGTCTGTGATAGAGCTGACCTCACCAGGGTCAAGGCCTGAAACTTCTCAGCAGCCATCTTGCAAAAGGGCTCTTCTTAATAGCCTATGAAATGGGTTTGCATAAAATCCCAACACCAAGCCTGCTATGCCCCTCAGCATAATTTGGCTACTCCTATATGCATGAAGTGTGCCTACCCTCAAGGGTTTCATAGTTTGTTTTGTTTGTTGTGTATATAATGATGCATTGGTGTGGTTGTATTAGCATACAGGAATGAAAGGGTGGTGGTGTAAGTGTTTACAGCTTGTATTCAAAATATAGAATAAGTAATATTCTTTGTGTAATTAACTCTTGTAATTCTTCTCTGGGTGCGAGTTATCAGATTGCTGTGTAGTGTGATGTAATGGCTTTACTTTGTTGAGCTTTTGAGATGGAAAAAACAACATACAGGGTATGGCTGTATGCTTTATATGGTTGGAAACTTGATATTCTGTTGATAGACTGCGTTCCCTGCAGCTGATCAGGCACTAAGTTTGCTGTCCATTCAGAATGAAACGCATATATTGTCCAGACCTCCAGATATGTTCATCTTGCCATGTGCTTTGTCAACAAACACCTTAGTTAATACTAGTTGGCTGTATCATACTTGCAGAGTGACTGTCATAATACTAGTTGGCTGTTAAAATTAGCTCTAGTGAATCAAAACACCTTAGTTAATAGCTTGAAATGAACTATAACTAATGAAAAGTTATTAACTGGTTTCCTTCAGGTACCAGCTAATAATTACTAGCTGTCTGGATGCAACGACTAGCATTACCAGATTCAAGCCCAAGTGACGAATTTTGATTTGGACTGTTATGTTTCTGGCCCATGTAAAAGGAAAAAGTCCACGTTACAACTTTTGCGAAAGTCTGCTTTTCCTCCCTAAACTTTAAAATCGGGTAAACCATTCATTTTACCTCTTGACCGGTTATAAGCGGTTTTCAAAGACGGTTTTGTCCTTTTCTTTTTTATTTATTTCGGTTGAATCTTTGAAAAAATCATAGTAAATCACAAAAAAATTATAAAATGAAAAATCTAAATTTGTTGGACTCCACCTGAATAGATCTACACAGCACAGTGAACATATGATATGGTATGCTTTAGTACAAACTTTTTTGCTGTAGCTTTAGATCTATCTATTTCTATAATTAATTCATAGTTGTAGTTTCTATGATCCAATTGTGGTGAAATTTTTATTGTGGGATAATTATTATATGTTTAAACTATAGTTAAAATTTTATACTCATTGGATCATGTATAACTTAGTTATATATTTATTTAGGTGTATGTTTGTTAAAAAATATTTATAAATCTATAACTAAGCTTATACATGATCTAATGAGCCCACCATAAAAATTTTTACTATAGTTCAAGCATACAATAATTAACCCACCATAAAAATTTCACTATAATTGGACCATAAAAACTACAACTATGAATTAATTACAGAAAATCATAGATCTAAAGCTAAAAAAAATTGTAGTAAAGCATACCATATTATATGTTCATTGTGTAGATCTACTCATGTAGATTTCAACAAAATTGAATTCTATATTTTATATTTTTTGTGATTTACTATGATTTTTTAAAGATTTAGTCAAAATAAATAAAAACAAAAAACAAACAACATTTGAAAACCACTTATAATCAGTCAAGGAGATAAAACGAACAGTTTTAAAAGTTCAAGAAATGGTTTAGCCAGTTTTAAGAGTTTAGAAAGAAAAATTATATTTTAGCAAAAATTAAGGAGGTAACGTGGACTTTTTCCGACCTAAAATGAAGTGCAGGCCCAACTGTCCAAGTAACTGCCATGCCCAAGTAGAAGGAATCAGAGGAGGAGCAGCAAGGCCACGTGTACTTGACCTGGCCTGCTTCGCTTTCCTTCGTATCCGCCTCGCTTCGTCTTCACTTCCCGAAAACTTCCCGCCCGGCCGAAGCGAACAAGCAGCCGCCACCAATGGCTGCCTGACCTTGCGGGCGAGAGCGGCGGAAAGTAGCGAGGACTGAGGAGTGAGGAGGCCTTCCAGAAGCTGCCAACGATGCAAGGTGAGCATCAGCCTCGTATCACCGTCCCAATCCCTATCATGATCTAAAGTTTGGACTTTTTTATGTCCTTTTCATTTATTTTTTTATGCTAATAAAATTTCTGGAGCTAGTTCAATCAATGCGCTCTTACCGAGGTTTTTTTGTGGGCAGATTCTGTCCATTTTTGGTTGTTTGTGCATGTGAGATCCAGGTTGCTCTGTTTTTTGATCCGTTCCTGATTTGTTCCTGGACTCGTTTGAATCCTTTACATTAATAGATCTTGACCTGCCAGTTCGTGCTGCCCTGTTCAAGGGTTTGGACTTCAGGAACTGCTATCTCGTGCTGCAGTCTTTGGAGGATCCGGTTTCGTAGTCCATGTATCAACTCTTTTTATTTTTTTCAATCAAAGTTTTATGATTTTTATGAAATTTTTTCGAATCCCTCGAGCCCCGCGAAAGGAATTTGCTCGCAACGCAACCGCGGATTCATCGTGAGTCCGCAACCCTCGTTGGCGCGTGGGGGCGTTTTCGGGGGAAGGTTTTTTTCTTTCCGATTCGGAGTCCCGAAATTTCGAAGGAGTCCAATTTTCTTTCAAATTTCAACCCGCATCCGCGAATCTCTCGCTTTCCCAATCTCGTCCCCTCTCCAGGCGTTAACCCTTGCGGCGATTTGGTGCGCAGCTCCGCGTGAGAGCTACGGGCTCGCCGCGATGGACTTCGAGTACGTCCCCGCGTCCCCCGGCAGCAGCAGGTGGGCTGGCGAGTCAGCGGCGCGGCGGCGGCAGCGCCGACTCTCTTCGCCGTCGTTGAGGACCTACCTCACGCCGGCCTTTGACGCCGTGGCCGGCGGGGAAGGCGGCGTGTCTGGGTACTCTTCGTCGTCGTCTTCCGGCGGTCTCGAACTCGGGTTCGACGCCTCGCTCCTCCGCTACCGCCGCTCCTGTTTCGCCGCCTCCGCGGACCTGGACAGCCGCGTCCTCCTCTACTCCCCGCAGTCGATGCCACCGCCGCCCCCGCAGATGAGGGCGGCGTACCTGGCAGCGGATGATGGGGTTTGGGCACCTGGCGTCAGCCACTACGGCTCCAAACATGAGGTACTTGTGCTGCTCTCCAGATCTAGTTTCATTGACAATTTGGGGTCTGATTAGTCACTAGCTGAAGGGTAGTAAAGATTTGTGATTGGCCTTAGTTGTTGGATCATAGGTAAGATTAGTTTGGTTAATGCCATGGTTGCATGATTTCTATGCTTTGCTTCAAGGAATTTCCTGTTAATTATAGTGTGGAATGTAGTTGAACTGAGTCCTTGGAGTTAAGGGTTGCTCAAAGTGGTTTACCGCTAGATTGGATTTCATCAAGCCAGCTTATGGACACGTGGCCACGTTTTTGCTGAGAGGGTACACATGTTCTAATGCAATATCTCAGACAATTTGCTTTTGCATAGACAATTGCTTTTGCTGTGGTTACCATAATTCTAGTTCTAGATATACAGAATTACAGATCTACAATTTATTAATCTATTATGAGAATTACTTCATTATCATTTACTAACGACTTCGGATTTTAGGGAACACATCACAGTTAACATTATTTAATTTTACTGTGACACACTCTTGTGAATAGTTATGGATTTGCTTTAATTGAGCTTCTGAAAGTACATTGTTTGTCATTCTTTCTAGTGAAAGAGAAGTTCATGGTGTTATTCTCTTCAGAAAAGGACAGAGTTTAGGATTTGGTTCGGTTATTTGTAGTCCCGTTGTTTCTGTAGAGGAAGCCACATCCCCAGAGTGTTGCTATCCACCATTTTACAGCACTGGAGATCCCATTACATTTCAGATATACATGACTTATGTGTATTCTTGCCATTTAATATTACCGTGCAAACTAGTTAATCCAGTTCTGGTGTCAAAGCTCAAGTGTAAATTTCTTCTATCTTTTCCTTATCAGGCCATTCATGTTAGGTAATGTCCATTGAGGTGCATTACCAGACAGATAGGTCCGTTACTGGTTGCTTTAGTTGGAAACAATCTATGAGGGCACGTACAACGTCGGTGCTTGCTTGGGCGCTTGCAGGCGGTTACTGCCTTGCTGGTTTTCCGTGCCCTGGTGGTCAACGCCTCAACTAGCTTTTGCTGTGGCATCGCTGCTTAAGGGCATTTACAACGCCTATGCTTGCTTGGATGCTTGGCGGTTACTGCCTTGCTGGTTTTCCGTGCCCTGGTGGACAATGCCTAAACTAGCTTTTGCTGTGGCATCTCTGCTTAAGGGCATGTACAACGCCGATGCTTTACTTGGGCGCTTGCAGGCAGTTACTGCCTTACTGGTTTCCGTGCGCTGGTAGATGAAACCTCAATGAGCTCTTGCAGTGGCATCACTGCTAGCTCAAGCACCGATGCCTGAGATCCTTTTTCAGCAAAACAACTAACAGTTGTGGCTTGAAAAAAATTGGAGATTGGTGTGAAAATTTAGTTGTTGCCATCGTAAAATTAGGACTCATATGTAGGCGCTTAATTGTTCTGTCTTTAAACGTCTATTTAAACATTCTTGTATTGTACATGCCCTAAGTATGCAAGTTGCAATACAAAGAGAAAGAGTATGTGGACTAGGCATTTTATAAGACCCAGTATCAGCATTTGAACATGCCCTGATGTGCTGAGTTTTTTTTTTCCATTCTTTTAGCTGACCTGTCTGTCTTATCCAATGGTTTAGCATGTTTTTTTTTTTCAGATCAGTGCATCATTGTCAAGCAAAGCAACCATAGATAATGCACAGTATCGTTCACTAGCATCATTCTTTTGCCCAATTCTCCTGAGTTGAATTTATACTAACATACTTTTACTTGGCTTTATAATATATGTTGCACAGGCTGGCCGGATTACTGGCGCACCAGGTTTTCAGGATTCAGAAAACCGCATTTCTTTCGTCTCCCCGCCGCAGACAAGTAGCAATCTTCCTACTACAGTTCTCGGTGCCTCCACCTCCGTCAAGCTTCCTGCTGAACTTCAGTTGCCAGAGGGCAGTGTCGTAGCGACCAATGCAGAGCTCCTAATGCCAGGACCAGAAGCTACGCCTTCAACTCTCAAGTCATCTGCTGATCCAGAACCAGCCGTGGAGGGCGATGAAATCACTGAAGCTCTCTACGGTGACAGTGGTCATCGCAGGCTCCCCATTTTCAGGGAGATCTGTCCAGAATGAGTGTCAGCCTCAGCATTCTGAACATTGCTGATGGATGCATTTTGGCTCTAGCTGTATATTCTGTTTATCTATCTTGTACCCATAGTCTTGGTAGCAGGGTCATTTCTAGTTTCCTAAAGGAGAATCTCTCTTCTATTGATCTCTTCATTAAGCGAGAAAGTTATGATATACATTACTTGAGTAAGCTGGCAATTGACCTGTTTTGCTTGCCGTTGGTTGGAGGTGAACCTTAGCATATATATGAATTTAGCCTTTTTTTTGGCCCTCTGTAACTGAGTTGTAGGGTTTCCATACCCACTCGATGAGTGCCTCGCATCATACGCATACTAGCATGTGAAGTGAAACAACATGGTAAGCATGCCGAGACCATTGATAAATGGTGAGTGGATATGTGAATCAGCTTACTGAATGAGGGAGTTAAAAAAAAAAAGCTTACTGAATGAGGGATGACAGATGTACTAGCTACTAGCGTAAATAAACATTCCAGCAATTGATTTCTGCCAGCCAACAAGGTACACGCAAACTGTGTTTCAAGAGGTGAAAACAGGAGGATGTATCAGAATAAGTTGATCCGCTGTGGATCTAATAGAACTAAGGGCTAATTTGAACCATATCATGATTAAAAAAAAACTGAACCATGTCATTATAAATGTCATTGTTTGGAAATCTACCATTACTATTCATCTATTTGGATACATGCTGTTACAATTTGCTATGTACCTAAGCCCCGTTGCTTATTTGGGTGCTGGCATGTGGTTACTGGTTTTCCGTGAGTTTTCAAACTATGTAGACAAAAATGATGACATGATAAAGAAATTTATAAAGAGAGAAGAAAAATGGGTTTCATCGGGATAAAATTGGATGTACAATGTTTCCAAAACTATGAAATATGTTCAAAATGGCACTGGGGTTTGAGTGTTTCATTTCATATGACCACATCCAATCCTATGCATTGTATGCTATTGGTAGCCTGTAAAACTCCGAAATGAGATGTGCACTATGAAACTCTATTTCATTCAACAGTCCCGACCGCTTTAGATAGTGTGGCAGTCTTGAAAATTGTAGCATAAAACTTGGCAATAATAGTGGTCTAAGGACCACGCCAGAGGTCCTTTTGATAACTGTGGCCCGAAAAGGTAAAAAATGGTGTGAAATTTAAGTCATTCAGCATGTTCGCTTGTTGGTTTCAGCCAAGGCTTATCAGTCATGGTATAATATTTTTCTCTCACAACAAACTAGCACCAGCCGGGTTTATCAGCCCAGAAACCAACCAGCGAACAAGCTGATTGACATTGCAAAATTACGGCTATTCTAAGTGTAAGTGTTCTAAGTGTAAGTTTCACGAAAGTTTCATTCTTACTAAATAACATGTCACATAGGTAAAACTGGTGACATAAAATGAAATTTATGACCGGAGAAAAGAGTTGGGTTTTATTAGGATAGAACCTGGTGTACACAGTTACCAATGGTTATGAATCCAGAATAAAACTTCACTGGGAGCAATTTGTTTCATCCTCAAATCTTTTACTTATAGCATCGTGGAAAATTTAAATGCTTTGGCCTAGCATGTGGAACCGAAATATAAATAAGCATTGAGAGATGTTGTTCCGTTCATCAAATTGAATCTTTAAAGAAGAGGCACTTTTGGAAAACACATAATGAAACACTCCACTAGAACTATTGAGATGAAGTGGCACTTTTGAAAGCCGCAGAACAAAATACTCTACTGAAAATAGCCTTACGTAAACGTTTAATTATTTAACAGTCCTGCACTGAACGTGTCCTAAGTCTTCAAATTGCAACACAAGCACTATGTGGAGTTGTGGACTAGGCATTCTATAAGCCCCAGCACAGGCATTTAAACATATCCAGGTCAGAATCTTCGTATCACTGTCAGTCAAAGGCTCAAAGCAACCAAAGAGGCAAAGATAATGCACAATATGGTTCACTAGCACCGGGCATTTTACATTTTTACTATTATTAAGATCGCCACTCGCTCGATTGTCATCCTTACAATGCCTCTTACATATTTACCATCTTTAAAATTCGTGCGTCTTCTTTTTGCCACAATTGCTCATCTGGCACGCCACGGCGACCCAACACGGTGGCGCACAGTCAGCAGGGCGGTGCGAAATGACCTGCCTGCCCCTGGCTATTTGCTGAAGGGAAGGAAAAGGGCCGGCCCAGTCGCTCGCTCGTCCATTTTCTCGTGCGAGCATCCGACGCCGACGCCCGACGCGTTCTTCTTCCCCAGCTCGCCCGCCGCCGCCGCCTGCTTCTTCTCCAGCTTGCCCGCCGCCGCCGCGCCTGCTCCCCTCCGACCGTCCCTGAGCCACGGCGGCCACCGCGACGGAGCGAAGGTACGTGCCCCCTGCCGCCCCTTTGCACCCACATTCCACGGCATTTAGGGTTAGGGTTCATGGGGTCATGGTTCAACGGGCCATTGTTTAGGGAATTAGGCCTCAAGTAGGCCGGCAGAGCACACAGAGTCATGGAAACGCAAACCCCTCGCCGCCTGTGTGTCTGCTGCTTGTGGCCTGCTCCTGTGCTGGTGCGGCTTTGCGTTGCTGAGCTGCTTGCTTTGCCTAAGTGCCGCTGCTCGATTATTTGGTTTGATTTGGACATTCTAGTGATGCCTTGGGTGTAGATATGGAGATATAGCCATGTGCCGAGGTTTGTACTATAATTCTGAATTAATTTTTTATTAGTTCAATTCAATGATTTATGCAGATTTTAAAAGCTTATCTAATTGTTTTTCCTCTTAAATTAAAAGGTTCTGTACTATAATTCTCAAATGAAACATGTTTTTATTATTGATTGTCTTTGAAAATGTAACATCTTAATTTTTGTTAGTCATTCTTCAACTTTTACTCTTGATACATATGAGTGTAGTACTGATAGCTCAAACGGCAGACTGCAGCTAGTGTTTTTCTCCATTCACATGCATGATTTGATTCTCATGAAAGTAGTATAGTGCACCACGGCTGGACTAATTGAGATGCCCTACTTTCATATTTTGTTAATTCCTAAATTGAGTAAGCTTTCCTAGATAGTTCTATTTTAACGTGAGAACTATGGTTGCTCACTTTATCTTCATTTGTTCTTTGCTTCGTAGGCTTCTGATGTAGTAGGTGGTGTCAATCAATCGAGGTTACAATGGCTAGCAGTGACTGCCCACCTTGGTAAGTGTTACCATCTTAAGTTGTGCAGTGGGTTGGATACTCTCTGACTCCGTATTTATTTCATTGTGGCTGATTATGCCAGGATCGATCCTAGCTCTGCATTTAGACTAGTTGTTAAGGTCACTAAATATGTTGTTGTTGGTGAGTATGGTGAGTATGACCGAGTCGACATGGCAGAGCAGCAACACGACTTATGGTTTGACAGGAATCAGTGGCATAATTCCTAACATAACTGATAGGAATCAGTGGCCTGAGGTGGACAAGGCCTTCAAGCTGTACCATCCAGCACAGAAAAAGAAAGAATCAGGTAGGCTCAGGAAGAATAGGATTAAATCAGCAAGGGACACAGATGGAAAAGCTACTAGGCAAGTCATGTGCCCTAACTGTAAAGAGTATGGTCACAGGGGTGGTAGTTGGAAATGTTCCCTCACTGGAACCAAGAAAAGGTGATTTCTTAACTCATGTATTGTATTTGTTTACTAATTGTCATAGCTATTAACTGATTTTTTAATTGTTGCAGGAAAAGAATCAAGAAGAGAAATGTCCAGGTTGAGAGAAAGAAAGTAAACAAAGGTGCTACTGGTGATGAAGCAGTCACTCCAAGAACCAGAAGAGCAATGGCAAGGGAAGCTGCAGCAAAGGCAAGGAGAGAGGCTGAGGAAGCTGAACTGAAGGCTGCGGCTGCAAGAGAAGCAGCACAAGCAGCAGCTAGAGAAGAAATAGAAGCTACAAGAAATGAATTATCTGCAATTCATGCACACGAAGATGTCGTGGATATGATGCCTTTAGAAGTTCATGTCCAAGAAACTACAGCAGCTATGAGGTATGCTATTGAGTCAACTTGCAGTTCATGTCCCTATGTATGCTACTGTATCCATGACTTTTCTTGTTTTGAATAGGACCCTGTTCCTAGAAGATGAACTGCAAGTTGAGCTTGTGAAGAAAATGACACCTAGGAGAAAGCAGTTGGCAAAGAAAGTGAGGAAAACCTAAGGATGAAAGAAAAATGGAGACCGAAGATGAACTGGAATATTGCTTTTATTTTGCTAAGAGCCTGAACTCTTCATAATATATGTTATTGGTCAGAACCATTATTTTGCATGGCCTTCTATTGTAATGAAATGGGCATAGCTATCAGCATGCTCTCCTGTGTAATGGGCAATGGCCAAGAACTCTATATGTATGGCCACAAACTGCCCCTATTTGGTTCCTTTGTAATCGGCAATGGCCACAAACAAGTACTTTATGTAGTGACCTTAATTTTCTAAAGCTGATGTGCCTCTATTATTTTGCATGGACATGATGTGCCTCTCTTATTTTTATATGGCTACAATGTGAATCTCATTTTTTAAGGACCAGAATGTGCTTCTCTTATTATGCATGGATAATTTTTTTTTGCATGTCATAATAATGGTTTGCCAATTACAACTGATGATTCATTCAAACAAAAAGGCCATGACAAATTCATTGCAAAACAGGTTTCTCTTCTTCAGCAGATAGGCAGGGGCAGGCTGGTCTTTTCGCATTGCCCTGCTGACTGGACGCCACCGTGTCGTGTCGCCGTGGCGTGCCAGACGAGCAAATGTGGCAAAAGGAAGACGCGCGATTTTTAAAGATGGTAAATATGTAAGACGCATCGTAAGGATGACAATCGAGGGAGGGGCGATCTTAATAATGGTAAACATGTAAAATGCCCACTAGCACCATTCTTTTCTCCAAATCCCCTCCTCCAAGATTCATAAAAAAAATCCCCTTCTCCACGGCGCCCCCCTGCCGATGAGCCGCCCCGGCCCTAAAGGCCTCCATACCTCCGCTCAT